TAGGTAAGTTAAGGTCTGCTTTAGATAAAGTATGCTGAATAGATAAGTTAATAATATTCATAATGAGAGATGAATTAGAGCATGTTAACCAATGTAAATGAAAGTTAGGAAAATTGCATCGAAAGCAATTGACATTTGGAAAGATAGTTGGATAGGTATTATGATATGAGAAATAAGTTAGTAGTTGATTTAAAAGAACTTTGATCTTGAAGGCTTTATATTGATTAAGTTTGAAGCTAGTAAAGTTAGATGTGGGTTTTTGATTATAATTGAGGTATAGCCATGTAGTTTTTCAGTCTATATAGTGGTTGATATGGGCCCATTCATTGTTTCTTTTTTGTGATGAATCAAAATTAATAAATCATTTAGTTAACAACTAATCGATTGAAAATTTTTGAATTTGTCAACTAATTAATTAAAAATTTTTTGGCAATTTGTATTACTAATATAATGTTAAGATCTAGAATATCTTTAAGAATAATAATAGCAAATTTGATTTAAAATACAGATTGATTAAAATAATAATAATATTAGTAAATCTAATTTAAGATATAATTTTATTATAGATTCTAGATTATTATTAAAAAATCTTAAAGAAAACAATAACAGATAGATTAAAAATATATAATTATAAAGAATAAATATATCAAAGTAAAACCAATTTAAGAATAATAAAGTAATAAAAAGATGAAAAATATGAAGAATAAAATATTATTAGATATAGTTAAATTAAGAAATAAAAAAACAAAACTAAGTAAAACATATGAATAAAATATATAGATATAATTACAAAAAATAGTATTTCTAATATTAAAATATTGTATTAAGTTTTAAAAATATTTTTGTTAGTATAGCAGTTTAATGATATGCTTTAATTGCAAATAATTGCAAACATAACTGTATACAAGCATGCAATAAATATAGACTTTAATGATATATAAATAACTAAGTGAAGTTAGTAAAGTAAAATTAAGATAGTTAATATAATACTAGTAATGATATTGTAAATAATACTAGTAATGATATTGTAAATATAATCTTAAATTGTACTATATTAAATTTAGAATCTAATAAACTAACTGGCAGTGTTGCCAAAATTAAAAAAAATTGTATTAGTAAATTTAGAATTATAAGTAATAGATTTAAATTTACTAATAATAAAATATACTGTACTTTGTTTTGATAATAAATAGTACATATAAAGTATAATAATCTAATAAAGTGAACAGATTATTAATTTTTAAATAGCAAATCTAGTGTTTAAATTCTATAGATAGTAAAATTTAAAAATTATACCTGTATTATTGTAACTATGTTTTGTCAATCAGTTGAATTAAAGAGATAATCTATAATCTTAAGAGTACTATCTTGAATAGAAACTTGAAACATCTATACAAAGTATAATGTTATATATATATAAAGAAATGTTAAATAACTAATATTATATAAGATTTTAGTATAAATTTATAATAAGATTACCAAGTGCATAATATTAAAAAACCAAAACACAAAAACCTACTTAAAAATCCTAAGTAAAAAAATAGCATAAACTTTTAATAATATTATTAAATTATTAAAAATCTTAAAAAGAATAACTAAAATAGATTAAATAACAATATATATAGAAAAACATATATTAACTAGATTACTAAGAATTATTAAAGAAAAAAAATTTTAGAATACTATATTAGACCATCTAGATGGGTAGTTTAAAAAATCTTATAGGTTCAAAGTAAAGAGAAGATATTAAAAAGACAGGTATTAGAATTTTAGTAAACTTTACAAGAATATAGTAATTTAATAATTAGCTTTAACTGCAAGTGATAGTTTAGACCAAAGCAATATCAAGTTAACTGTAAGTATAAGATACAGAAGACTCTGATAGATTTAATACAAAGTTAAACATAACTTAATGACTATAATATATTTGTACTTAATATGCAATTGATAAAGTAAAAAAACTAAAGTGTTTAAATAAAGAATCTACAAACAAGTTCTAGGTATAACAATTGATATAAAACCTTCAACAAACTATTTAAAATAGACATTAACTAAAATTGTATAAGTAACTAGTTGTACACTCTTTTTATAATTGCCTTTGTAGTTGTTGTACATAATAACTATAAGCTAACTATTACTAATAAACTTTTGAGTTACAAGTACTTATCTTAATATTAAAATAAATAAATAAATAATATATATTGTTTCTAATTATACAATATAAAATTTTTAATTGTATTTTTTTATTGATTTATATAGGCTTTATTTTTTCTTTAATTATAAAAATAGTGTAATTTGATTGGTTGAATTTCACAGATAATTACAGGTAAATCTATAAAATCAACTAATCAGATAAATGTTCTCTTATAATTACTCTCAACTGAATACAAATAGAACTGTTCTAAATATAAAAACTTCTGGTTAACTTAGAACTATCAATTACAATCAATCAAAATTTACAAGTAAATATATTACATATTAATTAGCTAATTAAATTATAATTTTAAAAACTAAAAATTTAATGACTTGAAGCAGAAGTTAAAAAAAATCAAATTAAAGCATATATTTAAAGTCCAAAACAATGCTGCCAAATGTCTTTACAATATAAATAAAATATGTTTTTATTAATTTGAATGATTTGTTAACTAATCTACTACTAGCATTAACAAAATTGTTATAATCTTTTATACAATATCTTATATATTTAACAATATATTAAATTTAAAATCTAAATATCTTGTATAATTTTTTATTAAACACCATTATTCTTTTAAAAAACTTTTTAATATTAGTATATATACAAATATATTTTAAGTTTCTCTCTTGCATTTAAGTTTTTATAATTTTTTTTTTTTAACTTAAGCAGCCACATTAGTATTTTATTAGAATTCTTGAAACTATACAAATTACAGAGAATTTTTCTAATAACTAAATTTAGCATCACTCGACTACCTTATTAGTACCTAAATGCAACCTATTGCACTACTTTAAACAGAGGTAGACTGCTTATTTGACTGCTGCCTTACAATAGATACTACTAATCTGATGATGTCTTCTTGTAGAGAAGCAAAAAAACAAAAAAAAAACAAAAGTATAGGGATAAATAATAAAAGATACAAAACAAGAAATAAAAGAGAGAAAGAAGATAAATGAGAAAAAGAAAAGTGTGAAACTTGCAATTTACAAAAAATTAGATGGTGTTAGAATCTAAAAAGATCCTAGATCAAAAACTACAGTTTATTATTAGAATTTTCTATTTTTATTCTATTTAATCTATATAATATCTATTTTTAGCTAGGTACATAAATGGGAAGGCTTGTAAAAATTAAAGGCTATGGCTTAAATAATGGGTTAAAAATTTACTTCACAGATTATAATATATATATTACAGGCTGTGTGATGATTTAACTGAAGAAAATCAAAACATATACATAATGTTCTATAAATAATATATATGATAATAGTAAATCATATATGTGATAGTAATAGAACATATACATTGTAGAGCTTGAGAATAGAAGAATAATAAAGGTATTCTCTATAGAAATCAAATGTATAAATATAGGCCTATTTAGCCTTTTCACAAGAGAGTAATCAGTTAATTGTCTAATAAACTTCTGTTATATAAGTTATATTATTCTATATTTAAACTTCTTTAACCTTTTATATATTATACTATCTGAAACTTGCTAAATAAATAATCGATTCTTTACTATATTTGTTGAGTAATGAATACATATATACACTGAGTCTCTTATTTAATATAAAGAAAATAAGCATTAAGGCTAAATAAATCTTTCATTGAGTAACTAAGAGCTGTATACTGAATAATTTATAATAGTATAGAGATAGTATAAGTTATGATATATGAAAAGATAGTGAACTGTTAATAGAATTAATCTGTTTGAAGTGATTATTATTTGGATTACTTAAGTTATCAGTTTATTATATGTTTAAGACTAACACCACTCTAAATTATATTATATTAATTCCAACCTCTTCCTTAAATTATAAAACTTGTTCTAAGTAAACCTTTATTGGCTCTATTATAGATAGACTACCAAATATCAGCTTTATTATTTACAATTTTAAGAACAATTAGATTGTTATTAAGCTTATTACATTAACTATTGAAGTTAAACTATACAATGATATTTACTCTTCTAATTTATAGTAGTAACATTTGGTGCCAGTTGTGTGAATATTTGAACAAATTTTCTATATAATTAATTAGTTTTTGTATTTAAGAATATAGCTTAAAAAGCAAGATAAGTATAAAATAGTCTAGCAAACCTTGATGCAAAACCAGCAACCTCTTCAAAACTCTACAAAACCTCAATTCAATGCATAATTTGGTGAACCAAATTATCAATTTAGTTCAGCAAATACAATTAGCACAATCTTACAAATAAATATCCCTATTATCTATAGAGAACTCAATTTAGTATTATATCTTAAATATATAAGAGAAGAACAAGACCTTATTTTCTGGCTAAAGGATGTTAAAAAAGCCTTTGAGACTAATCATATCACTGATGCTTGAAAAATTCCTGTGATCATTTTTAAATTAAAAAGATTAGCTTCTACTTAATAGATAACAACAAGAAATCAAGTCCTGCCAATTGACCAATAGAATGATAATACCAATTCAGGTCTAAGTTTTAAGGCCAATTTTATAACCAAATTCTGTACTTCTAAGCTAAAATGAAAGTAGTTTGCCCAACTTATACAACAGAAACAACTACCAGAAGAAAATGTTGATTTTTATTATATGGATATTGAAGAAATGATCTGTAGAATTGAAGCCAGAGGTTACTAATATTCAGACTCTGTAAAAGCTCAGATGTTTATAAACAGCTTATGCTCTAAGTTATTTATAGCTGTCTTTTCATTTATCCCAAACATCTTACAAGCTGTATATGAAAAAGCAAAAGTATTTAAAAACACTTATTAACAAAACTTCACTTATGTTGCTTTCTTAGAACAAATCTCTAGATATTCATTCCAAATAGTATAACAGTTAAATATGCTAATTCTAGTCTTAAAAACAACTTCAGATAACACTAAAGCCATATTGAATAAACTAACTAAGGTTATAAATAAAATAATTCAAATACAGGATTAATGACATATTCTAAAACCATATTAGCCTGGACCTAAAAATTTGAATTTTATAGTTTGTTACAATTGTAGCTATCCTAAACACATTAGTAAAAATTGTAATACACCTAAACATAATAATAAACCTCCAGCTCTGTTAATCTATCTGTAAATATACTGGCTAATGTTAACTCTTAAGAAACACTAGTAGCATTAATAAACCTATTTCAGCAAAATAACCAAACAGAAAATAATGAAGGACAACATTTTTACCTTGGATTTACTGCTGAAAACACTTATATTTTTGCTTCTGCAGAAGTAGAAATAAGAAAAAATAATCCAATAGAAACTCTAGAAACTCATGCTAAGAAATGAAAGGTAAATGAAGGAAATGCCAAATTAATAAAAGAAATAATGAAAAGCCAGAAAAATAAAGTAGAATCACAACTCACCTTAATTTAATATAATCTCTCAAAAGAAAAAAAAACTACAAAAAGAACTGCACCTATTAGAAAAAAAAAAACCAGAGAATGATATTCTACAAATATCATTCCTAGTTGCTCCATATTCAATTATAGCTGAAATTAAGAATAAACTAGCCAATATTATTTTCAGACAGTTGTTTAAGGCTGCTCTTACTATGAGGTCCAATTTAATTTAATTATTATAGAAGAAAAAGATATTGGCTAGGTGAAAAGTTAGAACCAATATAAATTTACAAAATAGCTATAAGTTAACCATCCTCTACTGTGATGTTCAAGTTTAAAGAAAAGTTATTCTATTAATCATCAACTCTGAGTTCTCTGAAGGCATAGTGTCCTCCTACTTACTAAAAGAATTAGAAATAAAAATCAATTGGCCCTCTACCATAAACATGATTAATGTTTATGATGAAAGTAAAAAAGCAATTGGCAAAATTTCAGATTTTTTTTTTTTGTAAGAGGCATGAAAATTCCAATCGATGTTGTAGTAACTGATGCAAGCTCCTATAATGTGCTTGTGAAAAATGACTGGCTGTCCCAAGTTAATGCTTTGATAGATTAGAATGCCTCTGAGATGAGTTTTACTTGAAAAGAAAAAGAAGTCATGATATCCATAGAATTTAGAAGAGTAATTTTGAAACTTCTGGAAGTTGAAAGACCTACAAAAATAAGTTAAAAATAAATTAAGAATAAAGAAATAAGAGAGGAAGAAGAATCAGAAGACAAAGAAGAATTTGAAGATAAGGAATTAGAAGACAAAATTTATAAACTTTCTGAATTAGAAGAGGAAAGCAAAAGTTTTGAAGACAATAATGTATATTATAGAAATATGATTAGAAATAACTTAAAAGTAGGAGAAGCCTAGTAGAATTTAAATAGTAATGATGATTATATACAGAAAGATAAGGGTAAGAATTAAGAAGAAGAACAAGATTATAGTGATGAGGAGGAACGTACTTTATTATCATTTCTTAATCCTTGGCATAGAGATCGCTAGTGGCTAATAGATATAGAAATACTGAATAATAAATCTAACCAAGAATAATGCATAGATGAATTAACTTCAAAGATTTTATCAATAAGAAAGTATAAAGAAATTGCAAACCTCTTAAATTTTTACTTTGATAAGAAAGAGAATCTAGACATAACTTATAACATCGAGACTCTTTCTAAGGACCAAGAAAAGCCACTAAAATTAATCTTGAATAGAAATTAGAATTTTTTTGCCAAGAGTATTTAGAACTTGATCAAACTAATAGATGTCATCATTGAATAATTACTACAAATGCACTACCAATTAAACAATAACTGTATCAACATTTCATAAAAAAAAGGAATTCTTTAAGGATGAACTAAATACAATAAGAAAAGAAGAAATAATCTGAGTATCTTATAGTTTCTGATTTTCTCTAGTAGTCTTAGTAAAACAAGAAGAATAAAAAACATGAATTTGTATAAACTACTAGAAGCTTAATGCCATTACTAAGAAAGATAATTATTCTCTCTCAAGAATTGATGACCTTCTAGACACTTTGAAGAGATCATTTTGATATACCTTCTTAGACCTTGCTAGTAGATACTGGCAAGTCAAAATGGCTGATAAGAATAAAAAGAAAACAGTCTTTGTAACATCTGAAAGGATCTATGAATTTAATGTAATGCCCTTCAGATTAGCCAATATCCTTACTACCTTCTAATGCTTGATAAATAGAATTTTTTATATTATAAGAAAATTTATTGTTATATATCTTGATGATATTAACATCTTCTCTAAAAACTTCAACAAACATGTTTTTCATTCCAAGAAGTTTTCATATATTTATAAAAAGCAGAACTTAAATTAAAGCCTCAGAAATGCTTCTTTAGAAAGCACTAATTAAAATTCTTAGAGTATATTGTAAAGGCTGAAAGAATTTCAACTGATCTACAAAAAATAAAAGCTGTTCAAAAATTTTCAACACTCTGTAACATAAAACAGCTACATGGATTCTTGGGACTAGCCTCTTATTATAAAAAATTCATACTAAGATTTACTAACATTGTAGCATTACTAAACCTATTATTAATAAAGAATAATTATTACAAGTAGACCAATCATCAGCAAGAAGCCTTTGAAGAGTTAAAAAGAAAACTTACTTTTATCCCAATATTAGCTTACTCTGATGATTCTAAAACCTTTTTATTGTTTACTGATGCCTCTAATTTAGCTTTAAAAGCTATTCTTTCCTAATTAGATTTAGTAGAATGTAAACAAGTAGTATCATACACTAGCCAGAGTTTATCACTGGCAAAAAAAAATTACTCAGTAACTGAAAAAAAGTGTTTAGTTATAGTGTAAGCTATAGTCTATTATTACTAATATCTACATGATGCTTATTTTATTTTTTATACTGATCATGCTGCCTTAAAGTTCTTATTCTCATATAAGTTGCCTCAGAATCTTAACACTTTAGAAATATTCTTTTACAACAATTTACAAAGCCAGTAAGATACATTGGAATGCTGATAGTATTTTTTTATTTAAAAAAAAGCAAAAGAACAATTAGAGTAGACCATTAAGGAATTCTAATGATTTAAAATAAAAAAAAAATAAAATAAAATAAATTTAATTATTTTTTTAGAATAAATAGATTTAAATACATATTACTTATATTTAAGATATCTTAGTAATATCATGATATCTTCAAATTATAATAAGAAGATAACTAGAAATCTTAAATATCAAACCTAACATTATTTGGTTCAAGAAGAATTACTCTATAAAAAAAACTTTAGAAACCTAATAAGATCTTAAAGAGTTCTAAAAACTAATGAAAAGAAGCCAATATTATTCAATATATACTCAGATTCTTTAGCTGAACATTTTAATGCTACCTTTACTTATTAAAGAATTTCAGTCTAATACTTCTGACCACAAATAGATGAAGACATAAAAAAATATATAAAAATTTGTAATGCTTGTCAAAGGCATAGATAACCTAAGACCTGAGAACTGTTACATCTAATTCAAGTAGGTCAACCTTTCGACCAAATTGGAATTAATATTATAGACTTTTTACTGATTACTAAAAAAAAGAATAGATATATAGTTGAGACTACAGAATATTTAACAAGGTGGCCAGAAGCTCGTAACCTTCAGAAAGCTAATGCTCTATCAGTAGCTAATTTTATCTTTGATGATATTATATATTGATATGGGAGTCTAAAAAGTTGCTTTCTGACCAAAGGTCTTATTTTTGTAACAAGGTTATGGATACTCTTTATAGTCAAATAGAAGTTAAACATCAGTTATCTACTATCTATCATCTATAGACTAAAGAGTTAGTAGAAAGGTTTAACTATACTTTTTGTAAAGTTCTTATTAAATGTTTAAGCCAGTTTGGAAATAAATATGATAATTATATTTTGGCTGCTTTATTTGCATATCAGACTATCTGACATAGTACTATCTGATATGAACCTTTATATTTAGCTTATAAGAAAAATGCTATATTGTCTATAGAAACTGCTTTATTTATCTATCTTACTAAACCTATTATCAACAAAGACCTTCAAAATAGTATTTTTAGATGAGTTGAAATTTTATTAAAAAATTTAACCAAATCTCACTAACAAGCAAAGAAAAAAACTCAAGAGACACAAAGGAAGCAACAAACTTATTATAATAGCAAACACATTACAGAAAGCTATGAAATTAGTGATTTAGTGCTTTTGTATAAGTCTAAAAAAGCTGTGACTTATAGCTTAAAACTTAATGAGATATGAACTGAATCCTTTTATATTTATAAGGCTTATAGAAATAGTGCATACAAGCTAAGGATCCTAGATGACAAAGTATACTAAAAATCTGTACATAGAAACAGATTAAAGAAATATATTAATTAAAAATATATATATATATATATATATTTTTTTTTTTGGTATTAAGGTAACCTCTTTGGTCTTTTGACTTTTATTAATCACTTATCAGTATTGTGGTTCA